AAGAATATGTCCGACCTAGGAAAAACAAGCGAGTAGCGAGATTCAAGGCTCAAGAACGATCTCAGTCAGAAGGTGAAACGTTTGATAATTTCGTCAAAGATCTGAGGATTCTATTGATGGACTGTGAATACACAGACCCAGATGACATTATGATTGACTTAATCATCAACGGCGTACGACAACGTAAGGTACAAGAACGTCTTCTAGACCAGGGACAAGAGCTCACTATAGCGAAGGCTATTGAGATAGGGCAGCGATTTGAGTTATCACAGAGCCAAATGAAAACGATGCATGGAGAAAAAATTCTTGCAGTCAAAACAAGGCGACACGTCAGTAACAGCTACAGGCAGAGACAACCGGTACAGCAGAAGCAGTTTTGGAGAAAGGAATGAGATTCCGCACAAAAAGCGAGGTATAGCCACAGTCATGCTAACAACTGCTCCAGCTGCGGCAGAGTTCACGACGAAGAAAAATGCCCGACTAAAGGAACAGTCTGCAAGTATTGTAAGAAACCGGATCACTGGCTAAAGATGTGTAGGAAAAGACTCCGCCAAGGCAGCGGTATACAAAGCGACTCCGCGCAAGAAAGTGAAGACTCAAATGACAGCAACGGCTTACTACACATCCACGCGACACAAGATGCGCAGGAACCAGTGAACACTCTCTTTAGTGACAAATGGCTAGTGCACTTAAAGGTATACAAACACGACGTGCCGTTCAGAATAGACACAGGGTCGAAATGCTGCATTATAGTGAAACCACAGCTAGAAAGACTAGAATCTCTTGGTGAACGCATCAAGATGTCAGTCTCTCAGAGAACCCTCAAGTCTTATACAAATCACAAGGTCAAACCAGTAGGGGACGGTTAACCTACCAGTGAAGTACAAAGAGAATCAAGCATGCGCACAGTTTAAGATCGTCGACCTGAATCAGGAAAACAGCGGTGATGTTGCAGAGAGGCTGGGTCTGATACAGCGAGTAGATGCTGTCGGAGAACTCTCCGCACGTGAAGAAATAGCACGTGATTATCCTGAATTAGTGGAAACCACAGGTACTCTGCCAGGAGAATACACTATAAAGATCAAAGAAAGCGCAAAAAGTGTGATCCATCCATCTCGCCGACTGGCAGCAGCAATAAAACCGCGTGCCATCGAGAAACTCAGAGAAATGGAAAGGAACGGATACATCGCGCCAGTGAGCGAACCAACAGAATGGGTCAGCTCCATGGTAGTGTCACTCAGAAAGGACAAGGTCAGGATCTGCATAGATCCAAAAGATCTAAACAAAGTCATAAAAAGGGAACATCACCCCATGAAAACAATAGACGATGTAATAGCATGCATACCAGATGCGACACTGTTCTCAGTACTCGACGCGAAGTCAGGATTTATACAGATAGAATTGGATCTGAAGTCGTCATACCTGACCACGTTCAACAGCCCTATAGGAAGATATAGGGGGCCGAGACTACCTTTCGGAATAAAGTCCGCACCTGAAATATATCAGCGGATCATGAACCAGATGATAGAAAGAATTGACGGAGCATTCGCCATCGTGAATGACATCCTCATCGCAGGTCAAAACCAAGCACATCATGACGAAATATTCAGGCAAGTATTTAAACGAGCAACTCAGTACAATCTGAAGCTAAACTACGACAAGTGCAGCATACGACAACCAAGTGTACCCTACATGGGGCACGTGATCACGGCAGAAGGTCAACAGCCAGACCCAGAGAAGGTCAAAGCCATTGTCGAGATGCCAGCACCACGTGACAAGGAGGGAGTCCGCAGATTGCTTAGTCTGGCACAATACCTAGCAAAATTTATTCCCAATCTAAGCCAAGTAGACGCACCACTGCGGAGCCTCCTGAAGTCAGATGTGACATTCGCATGGGAGCACGAACATGAAGACAGCTTCAAAGAGCTGAAACAGAAATGCAGTACATCTCCAGTACTAGCATTCAATGACGTAAACAAACCCATGCACATAGAGTGCGATGCAAGCAAAGACGGATTAGGTGCTGTACTCATGCAGGAAGGTCGTGTTATTGCGTATGCGTCCCGTGCAATGACTGAAACTGAACAACGATACGCACAAATCGAAAAGGAAATGTTGTCGATAGTGTACAGCATGACCAAGTTTCACTGCTATGTGTTCGGTAAGAAGACCACAGTCCACAATTATCACAAACCGCTAGAACAGATATTCGCAAAACCACTACTGTCAGCTCCGATGAGAATTCAGAGAATGATGATGAAATTACAGTGGTACGACATCGAGGTTAGATACCGAAAGAGATGTTTGTGTCGGATGCACTCTCCCGAGCATATCTACCCAGAAAACAAGTCGAAGCAGACAATCTTGAGGAAAGCGACGTGATCAGCATGATATCCGTCAGCAAATCCAGATACGTAGAAATCAAGGAGAAGACACAGTCTGAACTCCAAACACTATATCAGGTGATAAGCAATGGGTGGCCAGACAACAGAAGTGAAGCTCCAGCTGAGGTGAAACAGTACTGGGACTCGCGAAGTAAGTAAGGGACCGAGAATTGTAATTCCGCCTACCCTATGCAACGACATGCTGGAAATAATACACCAATCTCATCTAGGCATAATCAAATGCAAACAGCGAGCCCGTGAAGTGATGTACTGGCCTAGTATGAACTTGGCCATTGAGGACACAGTCCAGAACTGCAGTAAATGTGCAGAGTATCAGAACAAGCAGAGGGCTGAACCATTAATGCCGACTGTAACTCCTGACCTGCCATACACCATGGTTGGATGTGACTTGTTTGACTTCCAGTTAAGCAAGTACCTACTGCTAGTGGACTATTACTCGACATATATCGACGTCGTCGAACTGAGCTCAACTACAACCTCATTGATAACTAACGCCATGAAACAAATATTCGCGTGTCACGGCATCCCACTGCGGATTCGATCAGACAACGGGCCACAATTCAGCTCGACTGAATTCAATAAATTCTGCCAGGCGTACGGAATCGAACATCAGACTTCCAGCCCGCACTTCCAGAGCTCCAATAGGGAAGCAGAGCGAGCGATACAAACAGTGAAACGCCTATGGAGCAAGGCAGAGAACAAATACTTAACTCTACTAGACTACCGAACTACACCGTTGGAGGGAATTAAATTGTCCCCAGCTCAACTTCTGATGGGCAGGCGCCCCAGGAATACTTTGCCTGCCTCTACGGAAATCCTAAAACCCAGAATAGACAATGCTATAGTAGTGAAAGAACACTTTATAAAGAGAAGGCAAAACAAAAGGTCTATTATGACCTTAGGAGAGGTGTGAAGGAGCTAAAACCACTAGAACAAAGTGACAGCATACACATGAACCCTCTTCCAGGCTCCAAGTCTTGGAAATCAGGGACGGTGGTAAAGCACTATGGGAGACCCAGATCCTACGTCATCTGCAGTGGAGGTCGGCTGTATCACCGCAATCGCAGACACCTCCGAGAGACATCAGAAGCAGCAAACCAACAGGACACCACTACAATGGACGACGGGCAGCTGGGTGTCAGCGACAAACAACATGAGACCCGAAGAGAACCCGACACTGCACCAGAGGCGAGAGACGGGACAGCACGGACGGGTGACGGACACAATGACATCCTCCGAGAAGACCCCTGCACGTCTCCAAGATACACAACAAGGTCTGGCAGGACTGTAAAGCCACCCAGAAGACTGGACCTATAATAATGTGTTGATGTTACATATCGTAGAATGCAATCTGTGTTGAATGATGTTACATATCGTAGAATGCAATCTGTGTTGATGTTACATATTGTAGAATGCAATCTGTGTTGATATTACATATTGTAGAATGCTAGTAGATTTNTGTACATAAGCTAACAAAAGTTGGATCGTGCGTTCGCTCGTATGGCGCTTGCCGTCGCTAGCAAATAGTGGCATGAATGTTAAAATCGCGTGTGCGTTTGTTATTCTGTGACTGAACGCGATCGACTATCTGCCTGTGCTTGTTTGTTTTTCTGGATTTTTTACGTGTGTGTATGATATACCATTGTGCGTCATCTGTGGGATATTTTAGGTAGGATCATGGCAGTGTCCATTCTTCTCGGTCAGTCCAGGTTAACTGCAGGCTAGTGCAGTTCAGTCAGTCTCGCGTCATATCAATTTATTTATGGATGTCCTTTTGCTCCCTGGAATTTCTTAATTCTAATACAACATAAATTTAACACTCAGACAATACATGGTAATTAACTTGCAAAGCATATATATGATTCATGTTAACTGCAACATCTAACTACATGTATATAAACAATGGAGGAATTTAAACCTCTAAATACATTGTACAAAGCAATCAAAGCAATGAAAATGGAAAATTGTGTACGTGTATACCTTGTATGAAAACGCTGCAAATGTGATAATTTCATAAGGTCGGTAAGCAAGTTTAAAAAAATAGCATGAACAATAAAATGCGTTTCATTTTAGAGACAGCGAGGGAAAAAACATGTATCATAATTTCTATAATTTCTTATTATTAATATCTATCGAAAACGCCTTCAATTTAAATTACATTTGATATTAATAATAAAAAATTATATGCGTGACACCTTGTTCATGTGTAAATGGCATTTTAGCTGCATAGTATGACATATATTGTAATCCAAATACTAATACTGAAAATAGTATGCATTCATAATGTTATGTTTATTAATGAATGCTATTTCAATTTAGTTGAATGTTCGTTGCTTCGTTTAAGTATATAATTGAGAATGAGATGTACACTGCCATGTGTATGAATATGCAATGAGAAAATTGGTGATGGAACGTCAGATGTCCATGATGGACAATTACAGAAAACTTGGTGAGAAAAAAAATTAAAGGAAACCTTGGATCCTCCGCTTTCAATAAATGATGTACTTAACATAGTTTTTAGAAATGTCTTAATTCTCAATGTGTAAAATAGCTACTAGGTAAACTCGAAAAGTTGTTTACAACATGCATCTTTACGTTATTTGGCATAATTAGTACTGATCATTCAATGGGTCCTTCTTATAAACATGTATCCCTATACCTAAAAGACAGGATATCAAGTTATAACCAAGCATTTATTTCCATTTATCAACTAATAAGAGACAAACAAAATTGAACAAATAACATGTATTTGTTCTACCATGTATAAATGAAAGTTGTACACACATTCTATAATTGGGCAATCTTAGTTACAATGTGATTTATTTCAAACTGGACAATACCAGTACGTACGGTTCCCATCTTGCTACACACGCAAACGAAGAACACTAGGAACTGGGTTCCCAGTCGGTGAAAGTCATCATAAACGTTCTAAAAACACGGTAATAAATGTCTTAAATCATCTCTGTACTTTGTGGCGCAAATCTTGTTCCCGTGCTATTATAGTATACACTACGCGGCGTATGTGGCACAGCGCACTTGAAGCGTTCAATAAAACTATAATGCTAACCTAAATACGAAATCTGATTTACTACCAAATTGCTTAATGTTTTCTATACTGCTCTCTTCACCTTATTATATGCCGACAGTTTCCTGTAAATTCCGCCCAAATCCTACGTCCAACCATATGCGCTGCCGGCGCCATTGCTTTAGCGGCGCGACTGTTGCACGCTTACACTAATATATATAGTGTACACTATATACTTATATATATTATATATTATATTATATAATATAGACACCCCTATTAGGTTCACTATGGGTGCACTTGTTTTGAAGGCGCCATTTGCAAATTACTTATCCGGCTATAATCAAACATGCCATGGTGTTACGTAGTGTTCAATCCCAATTTCAATGATATAGCAACATAAATTCTTTACGGGTTTTCAAGTTGGTATAAACAGTAATATATCCGCTATGAAGTGAGCCTATATTTACCTCCGCGCAAACGGAGGTCATGCAATCGCTCGTGTGTGTGTGAGTGTGTGT